TCCCTCCACTCCTTCCAGCACCCCCACCCTCACCCCATCTCCCCCAGATCCACTCCTCCTTTCCTCTTCAAAAAGAGCAGGCCCCCCAGGGATATCAACCGAACACTGCGTAACAAGTTACCGTAAGACTAGGCACAAACCCTCATATCAAGGCTGGATGATGCAACCCAGGAGAAGGAACAGGGTCCCCAAATCAGGCAAAAAGAGTCAGGGACACCCCCACTCTTAGGTGTCCCACAAGAACACCAAGCTATACAATCATAACATGTATGTACAGGGCCTAGCTCAGACCTATACAGGGTCTATGATTCTCGCCTCTGTCAGCAGAATGACTCTTTTCATGGCTATGGGGAGAAGCTTTTTGTTTTGTTTTGTTTGTTTATTTTTTGTTTGTTTGTTTGGGGAGGGGGAGGAAGACACAGCCAGAGAGCCTGAGGAGTCTGCATTAGGGGCGTGACTGGAATAAATAAAATGCAGAGCCAGGAAGGACGGGGGGGGGGGGGGGGGGGGGGGGGGGGGGGGGGGGGGGGGGGGGACGGGGACGGGGACGGCAGGGAATGAGGAACCTGTAGGATGATGTCAGCCGGTGGGAGGATCTGTGATTTTACTCCGAGCAATGGGAAGCTAGCTGTGTCTGACTTGAAGCAACAAAGTAACCAGATTGGGATTTTTGAGTTGAGTAACCTGCAAGAAACAATCCTGGCTTTATCCCTAGTAAAGCCAGCATTTGGAGGGAATGGCGATAGGTTTAAAAATCACGAAGCAAGTGACCGACCATACTTGGATTGGCACATCCACATCCTAAACCTATGCTCTTGGCGAACAAACTCTGTCTCCCCCAAAAGACACATGCACAACAGGGCTCCCCAAAAGCCAGGGGAGCAGGAGTCCGTTTCCTGGTAGGAGATCAGATTTTGCTCTGCCAAGGCCAACAATAAAAGCTCTGTCTCAGTCACTCTTTATGGATGAGTTCTTCCAGTTTAAAGAGAGACACTGCCCTCACCACCTACACCTGCTGCATCCTATAAATGACAAAGAAGTGTGTCGCCAAAGTACTAGCTGGCCAAGCCTTAAAATCTAGAGATTGTGCCCTGAAAAATGTCAACTCCTGGCTCTCACAACCCTCATGCAGGGAGCTGCCTTCCCCAGGTCCCAGTATATGTTTTAATGTTTGCATGCGCACCCATGCATTCATGAGTAAGTGCAGCTATATTCGTGCCGTGGTACGCATGTGGAGGTCAGAGGGCAACCTCGGGTGTTGGTCCTCAGTTTTCACCTTGTCTGAGTCAGGGCCCCTTGTTTTGCCACAATGTACACCAGACTAGCTGGGCTGGAAGTTTCCAGGGACTTTCTTGTCTCCGTTCCCATCGTGCTTAGGAGTGTTGTTCTGATGTATTGGTGGCCAAGTCAAACCAACCTAGCCAAGCTGAAGCAAGTCCCAGATCACTAGATGTTTTCAAAAGTTTCTTTCTTCTCTTCCCAGGGACACGGGCAGTCCTCCACCTTCTTCCGATCTCTGAGCCTCTCCCCTGGACAGAGCTATCAAGCCTGGCTGTGCCCATGCTTCCCTTTTCTGCTCTGGAATATGGTATTTGAACATTTAAGATCATTTCACCGACATCCCTTCCTCACTATCCTCTGTTTTTACCATGATTACTAATCCAGTTTACAAGCAGGGAACCTAAAAAAAAAATGTTAACCAGTTAAAGACAACTTTTAATGGCCAATTATACTCTCATTAAGTACTAACTGAATTCAATATCATTATGTCTAGAGTGCTGAAGACAACTCTGAACAGGACAGATAAATCCTTAGTTCAGAAAAACAATCAACAAACCTGAAGTCTTACTTCATCCTCAGTAGCATAGTTCTGTTGTACCCGGAAAACTCTTTATATTTTTTTCATTTTTTATTTTTGAGCAAAATAGGAAGGTAATAGTTTCTCTTTGCTGTGAGCTTACGATGTTGAAGTTGGGCATTTGTTGACCTAACAAAACACTTGGAACCGAACGCAGTTCAAGAGCTGATTAAAAGTAAAGCATGTCTCCCTGTCTCCTGGACGGACTGCTTCCAGTAAGGTTTGAATTTCCTCCTTGTTCCTTCAAGCCACGGCACGCAGCCAAGTCATTAACTTTCTCATAGCCTGTCCCCTGTGCTATCTGTTCCAGATCTGGACTCGGTGACTCAGGTTACGGAGCTGCCTTGATGGAGATGGGAATGGGATGTAGAGTCCTAAGTCTGAAAGGCCCTAGATGTTCCCCCTGCCAGGAAAACAAAGGAAAATCCAGCAAGGTGACATGTGTCTGCCTTTTTCAAATGCCTAGGCATTCCTCCGTTGTCTTCGTACCCTGAGTTTTAAAATGCAGCAAAGAGCAAAAATGACCTCTTCTGTGCTTGGCACTGTAAGTTTTGACATGTCTATAAACTCATCCAGTTCCCATTACAACCAATGCCATGAAAATACACATTTCTGGACTGGGTGTGATGGCACATACCTATCATCCCGGCAGTCCAAAGACTCAGGCAGGAGCATCACCAGTTCCAAGGCGAGTTTGGGCTAGACACAGTGAGACCCTGCCTCAAAACCAAAACACTGAACAAGCAAAACAAAAGCTGCCACTGTGTCTGGCCTCTGAACCCTAACGGGGAACCCATGTTAGTCTGCTGCCTCGCTGGAGTGTGCTGACTGTTAGACACATTCTCCTAAGTGGAATCTACCCTGTGAGGCTGGCTGGCTCCTTTCACTTGGCCTAATGACTTTGAGACTCATCCAAGTTTCTGCATGATTCAGTAGCTGGTTCTGCGCAGCACTGAAGAGAATTCCATTGTTGAGATGTTCCACTGTTTGTTCCTCTTGGAGGACATTTATATTGATGTAGTTTCCGATTTGGGGTGACTATGAATAGAAGCAGTTATAAACATTTATGAACAGTTTCATTGGGGATGCACAAATGTTTTGGGAACATTTATTTTTCTATGGTGAATATGTAGGAGTGGGTTGCTGGATGTGGTGATAGATAAATGTTTTACTTTACTTAAGAACTCTGAAGACTTCTTCCCCTAGTGACTGGATATTTTGCACTCACACTGGCAGAACACAAGAAATCTATCCATTACATCACCATCACTATTTTTTTTAATTTATTTATTATGTATACAGTGTTCTGCCTGCATGTATGTCTGCAGGCCAGAAGAGGGCACCAGATCTCACTACAGATGGTTATGAGCCACTATGTGGTTGTGGGAATTGAACTCAGGACCTCTGGAAGAACAGTCAGTGGTCTTAACCTCTGAGCCATCTCTTCAACCCCACTGTCATTATTTGATGTTCCAGTGTTTTTCCATTTTGCTATTTTTACAGACACACTGTGATTTTAATTTACTTTCCTTAATGACTAATGAAATTGTATGTCTTTTCATGCGCTGTTTTCCATCCACACATGCCCTTCTTTAGTCCACTTTACAATTTGATTGTTCCTTACTGTGTAAGTCTAGGGATTTTTATACATCCTGGATAAAAGTTTTGTTGGAAATGTAATCTGTAAATATATCCTTCCAACATCAAGCTTTTATTTTTATTTTATTTTATTTTTTGAGACAGGGTTTCTCTGTGTAGTTTTGTTGCCTGTCCTGGATCTCGCTCTGTAGACCAGGCTAGCCTCGAACTTGTAGAGATCTGCCTGGCTCTGCCTCCCAAGTGCTGGGATTAAAGGTGTGCACTACCACAACCCGGCTAAATTTTTCTTTTCATGCTCTAAAATGTCTTTTGATTAGCAAGTTTTTTATTTGATGAAACCTATAAATTTCTTCTTTTATGGTTCAAGCATTCGCTCTTTAAATTTCTGCATGTTTGTGTGTGTGTGATATGTGTGCCTGCTTGTTGTGGAATATGATTTTAAGTTGTGTTACATTTGTTTATGCTGTGGAACATTTGTTTAATGATGCAAAGATGTGTTGCATTCCTTTATGTTGCATTTGTTTAACTCTGTGAAGCTGTGTTACTGTCCCTGTTGAAAACACCTGATGGTCTAATACAGAGCTGAACAGCCAATACGAGGGCAGGAGAAAGGATAAGTGGGACTGGCAGGGAGAGAGAATAAATAGAACGAGAAATCTGGGGATGAAAGAAGAAAGATCAAGAGAACAAGAAGAGGAGGATGCTAGGGGCCAGCCACCCAGCCATCCAGCCCCACAGCCAGCCTCAGAGTAAGAGTGAAAGTAAGATATACAGAAGGAAAGGAAAAAGTCCAGAGGCAAAAGGTAGATGAGATCATTTAAAGTTAAGAAAAGCTGGCAAGAAACAAGCCAAGCTAAGGCTGGGCATTTATAAGTAATAATAAGCCTCCATGTGATTTATATGGGAGCTGGGTGGCGGGCCCCCAAAGAGTAAGAAAACAACCAACAACACCTGTGTGCATGTGTGTAGGCACACATGTACGGGTTCACATGCACATGTGCAAGTGTGTGGAGGCCTTAGGTTCATGTTAAGTGTCTTCTTCCTTGACTCTCTCCGTATTATTTACTGAGGCAGTGTCTCTTGATGAACCCAGAGCTCAGCCATTCATCTCGTCCAGCTGGCCAACCTGTTTCTTGCGTGGAGTGCTGAGTTTACAAGGGGGGCGTGTAAGTCTCCTACTTAAGCACCAAGTACTTCATCGACTGAGCCTTTCCCCCCCATCTCCTGGCTCAAGCTTTTGCATCATGGCAAAACTCTTTCCTTCGCTTTAAATCATGAAGGCTTTTAATCTGGTTTTCTTCTAAAGGCTTTACAGGTGTGTGTTACATATATTTTGCTTGCTTGCTTTGCTTTTGTCTTGAGAGAGGATCTCACAGTGTATCCCAAGTGGGCCTGGCACGTGTGGTCCTCTTGCCTCGGCCTTCCCAAGTGCTGAGATTACAAGCATACACCACGTCCACACACAAGTATAAACTTTGCAACTGGGTCTATAATCTATGTGGCTTTTTTTTTTATTCTTTCAATGGATAATATGATGGATTACCTTGGGTGATATTCCATGTTGGTCAATGTTGTAGTCACAGGATGAATCCCACTTGATTGGGTTTTTCTTTGTTTCATTTTCAACTTGACACTAGCTAGGATTCATGATCTAAGAAAAGGGAAACACAATTGAGAAAATGCCTCCATAAGACTGACCTGCAGGCTAGCTTTTGGAGTATTTCCTTAATCAATGTGGGAAGACCCAGCTCGTTGTGGGCAGGGCCACCCTGGGCAAGTGGGCCTGAGGTATATGAGAAAGCAGGCTGAGCAAACAATGATGAGCAAGCAGCATGCAGGGAACCTCCATGACCTAAGCTTTAATTACTCCCCTGAGGTTCTGCCTTGGTTTCCCTTAATGAAGCCCAGAATGTATAAGACACATAAATCATTTCCTAACAAACCGCTTTTGGTCATGGTGGGTTTTTGTTGTTTTGTTTACTTTGGTTTTGGTTTTCCGAGACAGAGTTTCTCTGTGTAGCCCTGGCTGTCTTGGAACTCACTTTGTAGACCAGGCTGGCCTCGAACTCATAGAGATCCACCTGCCTTTGCCTCCCGAGTGCTGGGATTAAAGGTGTGCACCATCACTGCTTAGTTGGTCATGGTGTTTTTTCACAGCAATAGAAACCCAAACTTGAAGACAGTGTGGTGTGTTCTCTTTACTATATATTATTGGGTTTCATTTCCTTGAGGGATTGGGCATATGTTTTCATATATGAAACATTGAAATATGAATATTGGTTTGTAGCTTTTTTCACTGCCTTTAGTTTCCTTGTCAAGGTAATGGTGGCCCCTAAAATGGGCTGCTAGGTAATATTTCTTTGTCTCCTATTTTCCTGAAAAAAGTTTATAAAATTGGATTCTCTCTTCTGTGTTACCTGTTTGGTAGACTTTACCAGGAAAACCATCTGTAACTGAAAACTCCTTGAATTTTTTAGGTTTATTAACTGAGAATTAAATTTTCTTTAAATGTCATAAGACTGTTCAGACTATCCATCTCATCGTAAGATGATATTGGGGGCTGGAGAGATAGCTCAGTGGTTAAGAGCACTGACTACCCTTCCAGAGGACCTGGGTTCAATTCCCAGCACCCACATGGAGGTCACAACTGTCTGTAACTCCAGTTTCAGGGGATCCGACATCCTCACACGGAAGGCATAGTATTCTCTTATTATTTTAATATTTAATACATACAGGAAGGCAGAACACCAATGCACATAAGATTGTGGATGACCACAGAGACTCCATAGTGAGGCCTTATTCCATCTTGACTCAGGGTCAGAGAGTCCAAGTTTGATTTGCCCTGCAAGGCTGCATAATAAGTTGTTTTTGGCCAAAGGCGTGGTTAACAGGTGTCTTATATTCAAGCCTAATTATAAGATGCTTTGCCATAAGGAGTGGTTACCAGGTGTTTTGATAATTAAGGAAGGGTCTACACTTGTTTGTACTTTGTACCTTGACCTTGAAAGGGGAGATCTTTTGCCTCTCACCTTGCTGATATATAAAAGTCCCATTAGGGGCTGGAGAGATGGCTCAGCAGTTAAGAGCACTGACTACTCTTTCAGAGGTCCTGAGTTCAATTCCCAGCAACCACATGGTGGCTCACAACCATCTGTAATGAGATCTGGTGCCCTCTTCTGGCCTGCATGGGTACATGCAGGCAGAATACTGTATACATAATAAATAAATAAATCTTTAAAAAAAAAAAAAAAAAAAAGTCCCATTAGGAATAAACTCAAGGCGACTGTGGTATTGACCCAGAGCCCTCCGGAAGCTATCCCGTGTCCCTGTCTTTTTCTCTTACATCTATTACACTAGGTGTTATCCTTCATGTCTCTATTTTTCATATCTATTACTTGTTAATCCTCACTCCTCCCTTCAAGGACTGTTCCACAGGTTGGGATTGTCCCCAACATGAGATAAAAATAAAAATATTTTATAAAAAGAGGATATTGATGGTTGGATTTTTTTGTGTTGATATATTCTTCTGGCACTTATAAATAGTAAGTCATAGTATCCTCTTATTATATTAATATTTAATACCTATGGAATTTGCAGCAATATTTCATTACAGGTCATATATTGGCAATTGCTGCATTCTTTCTCCCATTTATATGTTAAGAACTTTTGGAGCTTTATTGACCTCCCTTTGCAGTTTATCAGTTGTATCCTTGTCATTTACTTCTTCATTAAAATTGCTCTGAGCCTATTTTAATCTTCTCCCTGTAGCTTCTTGAATTAGACATTTAGATGATGGATTTGAGACTTTTTTTTCTAATATAAATTTTTAGTGCTACAAATACCCTCTGAGTGCCTCTCCATCTGAGGCTCGTAAGTTTCGACACACGTACCTAACTTTTCAGATTTACTTAGAATCAATATTTTATCAGTTGAAGTGGGATACAGAAACCTCACTGCCATCTAGCTCCGTTTCTTGCCCTGCTTTTTGTAATTTCTTATTTATTACATTCTTATTATTTCGGTGCATCTGCATGCGCCGAAAACCCCATTAACTGTAATTGTTGCTGTCAATCATCAGACATATTCAAAGCAATGGACAGAAGAGGATTCTCTAAGGTGTCTGCCATGTCTTTCTTTCTGGCACTATTTCACTTGTGTCTCAAGAATTCCCCTCAGCTATTCTTCTTGGAGAGGCTTGCTGGCAGTGAATTCTCTCATTCTTTGTATAAAAAATGTTTTTATTTTTTCTTAATTCCTGAAGAGTATTTTTATTGAATATAAAACTCTTGTTAATTATTTTTTTTAAATTAGTGTGTTTAAAATATTTTTGTTGGGCTGAGAGAAAGGTTAGTCAGTAAAGCACTGGCTATGCAAGAATGAGACACCACATTCTATCCCAGATTCCACGTGAAGGATCCAGGTCTGTTGGTGTGTTGTAACCCAATGCTGGTTTCCTCGAGTGGCTCAGAGTCACTGGTTCTTTACACACTGCATTTATTCTTCAGGATTGTATTCTGGACATTTTCAATCTTTAAAAAAGTTTATCGGGGGCACTCACCAACCTAAGACAGAGCGCCTGTGTGGCCTGGGCAGGCGTCTCCATGATGGGTAAGGAGACCTGCTGACATCCCACACTACCTAAGTCAGAAGCTCATTTTCTAGTAAAGGGGGACCTGTAGGGCCCTGGCCCCTGTTTTGGGTAACTGTTGCCTTGCTTGCTGACCTTGACCTTGATATCCTCCCTATGCTAATTCCCTCCTGGGTTTCACCCTCCTGAATGCTTAAGGGAAGTTCCTTGTCTATGTATCCTGCATAATGGGTGTTAACAGCTTAGATGCAAGATTGCAAAATATCGGTAGCGAACTTCTGCCCTCCAGGGTTCTCCCATTGTGCTGTAAGTCTGTATTTAAGACCTCCTCCCTCCTTCAATAAACGGCATTCAGCATTTAAAAAAAAAAAAGTTTATCATCATTGGTGTTGTTGTTAGTGTGTGTGTGTGTGTGTGTGTGTGTGTGTGTGTGTGTTATATGAGTGTGGGCATGCATGTGTGAGTGTCACAGGACAACTTTCAGGAGTCAGTTCTCACCTTCCACCATGGGATGCTGGAATCAAACTCAGGTCATCAGGCTTACACAGGGAGCACCTTTTCCCACTGAGCCACTTTGCCAGTCTGGCTGACCTTTTCAAATTTTTATTATAGAATTAGAGGTCTTATTTACATCCTACAAAGAATACTGACAGCTTTGTTTTAACAGGCAATTGATGTTGAATTTACACGTTCCAACCAGTCAACTATGATTACGATTCCAGTGTCAACCTAAGCTTCAAAACTCACCAAGCCCTGTTCAGTTCTCTCTCTAGCCAATGCACAGTCAATGATCTTGGCTATCCAGGGTCCAGGTCATGGTCCGGCCACTCAGCCATTGATGTCCATGTGATTTAACATCAAATCAAGGGGAAGATCAGAAGTTCACGAACAATTTTCAGGAGCAGCCATCCAAGCTCCTCGCCTCTCATCTGTTTGGCGCCTCCGAGTTTCCCAGGGGTCCTCTTTGTGCTCCTGGTTGAGAAGCTGCGGTTTGCTAGTTTTGTCTTTTTTTTGCATTTCCTGCAATTATCCACCACATCTCATGCCAAGTGGTGAGAGAACACCACGTGAGAAAAGAAGCAGGAGTTTGTGAATTCTCCCGGTGTCACAACTACTCCAGCAGACAAGGATGGCCTCCTCAGAGCTTTGGCTCCTGAGCATCCGCTGTAGTAGACCATCTTGGGAAACCAAAGCAAACTAAAGGTAAGACGATAATGTAATAGTTTTCCCTGGCCGCTCTGAGCAACTGAAGTCAACTTTCCTGTCCTCCCAGCCAGAGCTAGAGGTCATCTTGAGCACTGCCTGTGCCCCTGTCTCCACTTCTGGCTCCAGACAACCTTTAGTTCATTCCAAGAAATGCTAAATGCTGAGGTGTTAAACTCATCGTTTTGACTTTCTTTTCAACCTTCCTACTACGATTTACTTGTTCTTTTTATCTTTTTTAAATTAAGGCAGAATCTTGCCATATATCCCAGACTGGCCTGGAATTCACTATGTAAGCAAGGTTAGACTCAAGCTTGCTGTGGTCCTGATTCAGCCTCCAGGATTATAGGATTACAGGAATGTACCACCATGCCCCACTTGTTTTTTGTTTTTGTTTTTGTATTTGTTTTCGAGACAGAGTTTGTCTGTGTAGCTTTGATGCCTGTCCTGGATCTTGCTCTGTAGACTAGCCTGGCCTCGAGCTCACAGAAATCTGCCTGGCTCTGCCTCTCGAATGCTGGGATTAAAGGCATGCACCACCACCGCCCAGATTCCCACTTGTTACTCAAGTGTCTCGTCCATTTCTGCCCACCTCTAGTGCTTTACTCCACGGGGGAAACAGTGGAGTCCGGAGCTTATTCACTGTACTGGAGTCAGAAGCCCCATCATGAGAAAGAAATTCCTTTAAGAACAAAAGGAAAGAGATGCAGTTTTTCAGCATGCATTTCTCCCTAAATGAAAGTTTAGACTTATTAATGCTAGGAAGAGGAAAAATACACGCGTGGGTGGATGAGGTGGGCCTATCATGCAATCACACGAAGCATTTTAAAGCCAAAAAAGAAAAGGAAATCTTGGAGTTT